TTCTGGTTTCTTCTCAAATGCATATATCTTTTTTCTTTTTTTTTTGAATTTTAAAATTGAACAAAATAATTCAAGTAACCAATCATTTTTAAGACTTTTAACACTCCTCATTAATACACCATTAACTCTCTCTCTCTCTCTCTCTCTCTCTCTCTCTCTCTCGTTAACACTTTTAATAATATCTCCTCATTAATTATGGTAACTCTCCTTCAATAACTCATTCCACTAATTCTCTCACATTATCATTACTCTATTAAATTGCATAAAATACATTAACTTTATTTACATATATTCATTTCAATTTAATTATAATTTTATATATGTTAGTTATATTTGCATTAAAGGATAATTATTAGTAAAGATTAATTATATTGAAATTGAAATATTCAATGATACCAATCATTTTTAAGACAGGTTCGGGCCGATCTTTGTCTCTGCATTAACAGCATATACCCAAGCCCAAGCCCAATCAGAAAATTGGAAAAATACTTTTTTTCTTTTTTTATTCAATAAAAATTGTTTTATTTATATTAAAAACCTTAAAACCTAAAAAATAATGAAAGATCTCACTATTACTAGAAGAAAGATAAGAATAACAAAGAATATATATAATATTTTTATTATACAAATACATTATCAAGTCGAGCTTGGGCTTGGGCCGAGCTTTTCTGAGAAAGCCCGAGCCCATGGGCCTGATATCTTGTCCAAGCCCGACTTAGATTGGATCGGGCTAAACCAGCCCGTTGGGCTACCCGACCCATAAACATTGAATAAATCCACTCATTAATACACCATTAACTCTCTCTCTCTCTCTCTCCCCCCCCTCCTCTTTCCCATTAACTCTTTTAATAATCTCTCCTCATTAATTATGCTATTAACTCTCCCTCAATAATCCATGCCACTAATTCTCTCTCATCTCCAATACTCCATTAAATTGCATAAAATACATTAACTTTATTTACATATATTCATTTAAATTTAACTATAATTTTATATATATTAGTTATATTTTCATTAAAGTGTAATTATTAGTAAAGATTAATTATATTGAAATTGAGATATTCAATGATATATTATTACGCTAAATAACCTACTTCCTTTCAAAATTATAATAATTTATATTCCATTTGAAAATAATAAAAAGTAATCAACCATAATAAAAGTAACTTAGTAAGTTACTTAAATAAAATAAAAATAATTATTAATTATTGTTATTGATATATTTTTATTAATATAATAAAAATAATTTAATTAATAAAATGAATAAGATAAACAAAAAACTAATATCAATTTAAAATTAATATAAAACTAATAAAAATTATCAAACAATTATTAGTTTTATAATTAAATTTTATTGATATAAAACCAACATAAGTTCCACTAAAGAAATAAAAATTTATATAAATTTCATAAGGAATTTAAATATAATAAAAACTTAATATACTTAAATATAATTATTTTTTACTAATTTTAAAAATTAATAAAAAATATTAATTTTAGATGTAGTTTAATTATTTTAAAATCAATTTAAATTTCATTTACAAATAAGGAAAATTACAAAAAAACCTCATTGGGTTTTCTAACAATCCTATGAAACTCCCTAGTGTTTTGACCTTAACAAAATCTCCCCTATTGTTTTGAAAAAAGATGCAAATACCTTTGTTTCATCAGCTTTCCAAATAAAAAATGTTGATATAAATCATTAGTATTACTTCACTTCAGCCTTTCTACCTTATCTTGTCCAAGAAGAGTAAGGAGAATTATTCTTTTAACAATGATAATGCATTAACAATGATAAAACTTCAATGTCTTTGTTACCGAAAAGCCAAGGGAAAGGAGGTATTTGCACCTTTTTTCTCAAAACCATAGGAGAGGTCTTTGCTAGGGTCAAAACACAAAGGTGGTTTATAGAATTGTTTTAAGATGATTTTTTTTTAATAATTTTACCTAGAAATAATACAAAATAATAATAAATCAATAAAAATTCTTTTTCAAAAATAATAAAAGTTTGCATTAAGATACAAAAAAATACAAATTTATCTAGAGAATACGAAATTGGCCACTCTCACTAAAGCACAACTTAAATTGTGATTGGATAACTAGGCATAATCCCAAAAAATAATACATAAATTGAACTTAGATGGACACCACTTAATTGGAAATGTCATAGGGCTCTATATTCAATTTTGCTTATAAATAAAGCCAGTGCGTTGCATGGGTCTTGACTAGTATAACTCTTGTATAATATTCAAGGCAAAAGAGTCAGATCAACTCACCTATTTCCCTTTGCATGGATTGCGCTGATTAAGGCTAGAGGTTGGTAACATTTCAATGGTCCCCTCCAAGTTTCTTTATTTTAACATAACAACGTTATAGTCTAGGGTTCAATTCGCTAGTATTTCTGTGTAAAGAGACGACATATCTGCCTAATACTTATTGACTAAGAAATTTCGTTTCATATAAGACTATAATAGTTTAAAGAGAACTAGTGTAAGAGTATGTGTGCAAGATTAAAGGGTGAAACCAAACAAGAACATATCCACTTCATATAATATAGATGTACATTAGGGTGCATGGTTTTAAAAACTAACTTAGAAATGGAACCACTTTGACCACTATGGCCACTAGTTCCTGGGTAAAACGGTCTGACCATCCAATCCGAACCCCAGTCAAAACAGTTTTTGGTAAAAAACTAGACCAGAGTCATAACCAGTTCCCAGATCAAACGGTCTGATCATCCGGTCCAGTCTGGTTTTCAAAACCATATTGAGGTGTTTGGGTACCCAGATCTTATTTGGGTCGAATATAGGTATATCCATATCCAGTCTAATTATTAAACAATCCCTACTTTTCAAGTGCTAGTTAGATCACATTGTATGAAAGAATAATCGAAATCCAATTATCATTGACATTCCTCTCTTGATGAGATGCGATGCAGCAATCCCCTGATATCAGGGTTCATATCCTCAAGAATAGATAAATTAAGATTTTATTTAAGTTAAATGCGTAGATTAACAGAGAACAAAGATACGGCCACGTGAGTTATTGAATGGAGACATGCCTCAAGTAGCCCTGGTACCTCTTGGCATGGTTACACAGACTGGGGCCCTACTCTATAAAGCATTGGTTGCCATAGGGAAACCAGAAGGGAAGTCTTTCTCTAGAGGAATACCCAAATACATTACCCACAGACTAGTTAGTATATTCGTTTCTTCCAGTAATTTGTTAACAATTTATTGAGCTGAGAATCGTGTTAGCTCAGACATGGATCTGGTCATAGATGGAGCAGATTGATGAACTTGGGGAACCATGGATGAAACTTGCAGCACTTGATAATGTTTTGAATCAAAATTCAGGGCTGGCAGATTCACTGGTTTAGATCCAAATTCTGACTCCCAGAAAACAAAATGCCTTCAAGCCACTTATCAGTCAAGATGAAAGGAACAATGTACAAACAAGAAACAACCAAGGCACACATCATGGTGCCACCATACATCTAGGAGAATCTAGGATGATGTCAGTAGGTAGACCACAAAATTCAACAGAAAGGATCTATCAGACCAGAGATTTGCTTAGAAAAGGTGTCCCCCCCTGACCACAAGTTTCCCATCTGTCATCATCCCAAAACAAAACACAACCGTGAACCCTTTTCAGACAGAAAAGGAGAAAGACCCAAGTAAAATTTTGTCAAAGATGACTAGGTTTCAACCAGAAAAGGCTTTACTAGATAAATTATTAATACCACAATCATGACTGAGTGACCAAATACCGATTATTTTCTTCGTTTTGAACGGGCATAACAGCAAGAGAATTCAATATCAAATTCCACAATCTCTCTCCCTGTCAATGACATCACCATTTAAGCTAAAAATATCCTCCTACAGGCTGCAACCAGCTAATTCATTTTTGCTCCTTCAATGTGAGACCATCGGCCGATGGAGAGCAAGACTACCTAACCCTTGTTGTCACATGAAATTAAGATTTTTCCAAATATGGGAGATACGGCTTAGTTATCCACTGCCAAAGAGGCTACCTCGTAGCAAAAATCAGAATAAGGTTCAAAATATTGTAACATATCAATGCATATCGACTGATTTTCCATTTGATAATGGTTAATAAAATTTGCCACCACTCCACCGAAGTTTGGGGATTAAAAAAATAATAAAAATAAAGAAATAAAATAACAAAAAAAATAAAAATGTCATCAATGCCCTAAAGTGGGCCTCTGTCAAAGTTTGAAACAAAAATTAAAAAACATAAAAGAAAAACAATCAAAATAAAGTTTTACTACCCAAAATTTGCATATCAAAAGCATTGGTACTTTGAACCTCGGTTCAGGATTCATGGTATCAATAGGATATGGTCAATATATGCTGATACATATTTATTTCTTGGGCTAAGGGGCATGTATATGATACACCCAGTGACTGATTCAGACTGATACAGTTGATATGTATCTAAGTTTTTAAATTTAAATAAGATATAGGGTAAAATTCAAAAACCTCCCCTGAAGTTTCTGACAATCATAAAAATTTCCCCTATAGTTTTACTTTAACAAAAACCTCCCCTAGATTTTTAAAGAAATCAACAGAAACCTCCCTTCCATCAATGTCCAAGACGGAAAACACTAAACAGAAGATTCATTTTTTTCAAATACCTATTTTACCCTTTTGCAAATTAGTTTGCATCTATTTTTATTGAAATAATACCCTTGCTGACATGTTAATACTCTTTCCTCTCCCATCCACCTCTTTACCCCTGAACTCCATTATTGTATGAAGAATAGGAACACAACATTGATTTCACCAATCCAAACCCATTATTCAACTCTCATTTCTTCTCCTCTCTCCTCACCATCCCTACACAATACACTGAACTACCACCGGAACCACCTCTCTATGGGGGCGGTTCGGTGTTATATTCCAACATATGAAATTAATCCAGGTCTCTCTTTTAACCCCGAGAACATGAAATTAATCCAACCGTATTCCAACTGAATAGAACATGGAATCTGATTAATCTTTGATTGAGATTTGAGGAACTATACACTGCTATTGGAAAGGCAGAGGTTGCAGGTTAACCATCAGCTATCCTGCAAACTGCAATGAAGATTGAAGAATAATCATAACTCATAATATAACATGACCTCTCTCTTTCTCTCTCTCCGTTTGGTGTTTGAATCTAACCAACAGTCGTCACCATCGATCTGAGTGCAAACTTGACAGCCTTTCTTCTTTTTTAGACGATGCTTGGTTGGGAATGGTGACCACCGTGGTTCCAACGGTGGTGTTGTATTCGCAGTGAAGATTCGAGCTATGGGGGCAGTTCAATGCCATGCAGGGACAGTGACAAAGGAGGAGAAGAAAAGAGAGATAAATAATGGGTTTGGATTGGTGAAATCAATGTTGCGTCCCTCCTCTTCGGACAGTGGAGTTCTTTGCTGACATGTGTAAAGTATGATAATGCAGGGACTGGTCTGTTGCTGCTAAAAAACCATGAATCTTGATATGTTCCTTCTTCACAATTCTAGCTTGAACGAGGAATGTCGACACATTCTTTTATTGATCGCCTTGTAGTTGAAAAACTTGGCCTAGCTTTGGGTCTTGGACAATGGTACAATTGCAACAAAATTCCTTCTTCAAATCCTTGAGTATTTTGAAGTAACTGAATTCCTTCCTAAAACCTTGCATTGTTAGGATTTTCCGACCATTTCTTTGTTGTATATGCACATGCACATACTCCTTTGTCCCAGTGCCTGAGTCCTCAGCATTTGCCTCTATAAAGGGATAAAAGGCTGCAAGAATCTGGATGTCAAGTTCAGACATTAACCTTGGATATTGAAAGTGGACTACAAATGGAGTTTCGAAGGTATGGTCAGTTGAAGAAAGAGATCGATGGGAGAGGAAAAGGGGATAACATGCTATTAGGGGTAAAATAAGTATTTAAAAAAATGATTAAGCGATTTAACGTTTTCGGTCTTGGTCATTAACGGAAGGGATGTTTTTGTCAAATTCTTTAAAAATGTAGAGGTGTTTGCTAAAGTGAAACTACAAGGGAGGTTTTTATGATTGTGAGAAATTTCAGGAGAGATTTTTGTAGTTTACTCTAAAATATATTGATACTTGTAAATGTGAAAGAATTAACTATCTTACAAATTCCAAAATTTGTAATATCTTTATTTACCATTCAATATATTTATTTAATTTTGTTCGGATTTGTGTAAGCATTTTATATAAATAATCTCAAATAATTCTGGAAAATGTAAATTACAATCAGTATATGTTTAGTATTTTGGTTCCAACGTATTATTTCGAACATGCTATTAAAATGTGGTTCTTATATGTTGATACTTAATACCATATTTTTTTAGACGATTTACTTTTAAAATTTGTGTTATTGATGTTTTTAAAAGATTTCTATGGGTTTTCCTAACATATCCATGCATGTCTTGGTTATTCTACCTTTCCTCTGCATCCTGTTGTTTCCTCGATGCATCCCTATATGGCTGCAAGAAAATGAATGGAAAACATGTCCATGTTTTATTGGGCTCAAGGAAAAGAAATTAAGAGACAGAGACTTTACGAGCCAATGGTGGATTCACGACCGTGTGGACTTCTTCAGCAAACTTTTTTCTGATGATATCCCGATAGATTTTGAGAATCCTGACGGTATAAAAACCCAGCCAATTGAAAACCTGATAAAATCTTCACAATGGTGAATCGATGAATGTTTAGATAAAACTACGCCGCTGCCGGTCTTGAAAAGGCCAAACTGATCAAGCAACGGTATTTGATCGTAGACATAGACAAGTCATTTTCCTGCTCAACAGTCAACATCATTGTATGCTCTACATGGGCATCATATGTTGAGACAACAGAGAATGAAATCTAGGCCGCTAATTTGATCATCTTCCAAAGTAGATAAAGGTAACTAAAATATTGATCATATCATGGAGAGAGCTTACAGTGTAGGTGATGCTGATTCACACAATTTGAATCAAATGCCTCCACCAGGACCGTTCTTTATTCATATCTTTCTTCTCATAGCCATCCAATAGTTGGAAACTTGGAGACTACAACTTGATGAGACCACAAATACATATTGCAATACCCGAACAGTGAGATTGGGCAGAATGCAAGTTTCTTATAGTGTGCAGAGGGAAAAAGATTAAGAAGATCGGATGGAACTTGATTAGGGTATCTTCCTAGAGTTCAATTCTCCAGTGGATAACTCATGGCTAACAGACATGATAGTGCATATTTCAGTAATCAAGATCTGAACTGATACTTGTCTGTGTATGTGACAGAGAGAGAGAGGGAGAGAGAGGCACCACCAAGTCATCTGTACAAACAGAAGCCTGCAAGCCATACAAGTCCAAGTAGGCTTCCATTAATATAAAAAACAGCACATTCGTCTTCATTATTGGAATTTTTTTTGGTAGAACTTCATTATTGGATAAAATACACCTAAAACATGACTCAAACCTTACCCTTTAAAGCCTGCAGCAAGAAGTACCAGAAGGTCTCAAGGATTGAGAGCAACCTGATCTCATCTGTATTCCTCCCGATGAATTGTATCTGACAACCAGCATATCATGCAAGAGATGGACCACAAGGATATTAATTGATGCTTCTACAAGTTCCAGACGTATCTCATGAGGTTATTTATAATGTTTGCTTTCAGATTGTCATACGAGGAATTCAATGACCTAAAATATTGAAGCTAACTAATCCTTCCCAAAGAATCAAGTCATGTAACTGATTGCCTACATAAACCTACAACTACAACTTGCATGAGTTTTGCTCTTTTAATTACTGTCTTGAAATTAAACAAGTTGCAAGCTTATTCAAAAAAGAAGGCAGACAATTGATCAAAAATATTTATTTTCTTCAATAATATTTTTCATCAGTTATTCAACCATTGGATGTCTTCATGTTAGCAGAGTTGACTAAATTACAAAAGCTAATGTGATATGCAGAACCAAACCTACATCTCAGGTAAGGCTTACAGCTCTACTAAAACTGACCTCTGTAGGAAAATGCCCTACAGCCCCTAAAACTTAGTGCCAGTGTTTGCATGGACACAGACAAGAACTAGAATCTAACACATGACCAGAGTCTGACTCCGCAGGACGAAAAAGCATAGAGTTCATAATGTGTCTAAACTCTAAAAGTATATGCTATTAAAATACTCTATATTTTGAATTATAATCTAATACCTATAGGAAAAGGTGTAGAATTTTATAATCATTATTTATTAGCATTCTATAGAAAAATGATAGTCAATATGTACACTTGCTGTCCATTTATGTCAAATAAGAGAGAAAAGAAATTATTTGAAAAGCATGCCTGCCAAAGAACCTATGTAAGTAGAACCCAACATATGTCAAACATGAAAACTTCATCCATTTAGAAGAGATCATATGTCTCTGCTAGTGCACAGTGGTAAACTATGTACATATCAAACAAATATAACAGCCATTTTTTCTATTTTTTATGCTTGGCAGTTGGGCCTGATATTTGCTAATGTTGTTCATTCATTCATTCATCCTAATAAAAGATATTTTTAAAAGACATCTAAAGTTATAAAACCTTTTTTATAGGGATTAAAAATTTAATACCCTTATATGGACTTGTTTGGGCTTGCCTCAAACGGCTTGTAGTATCAGAAATGCATAAAGTTTAACATCACATTAGTTACTTGAAGTAATGCAATTGGGAAAAAATAAAGAGATTAAGAGCTTAACTGCTTGAATATGTTTTCTATGTTATGCTTGATTTTATTTTTAAATTTTCATGTTTTACATGTTATGTCTATGAATTTTAATTTGAGAAAATAGGTTTTTTAAAGCAATTATTTTAAATTATTTTTTATTTAATATTTTGCACTTTGGGCTTTTTTTTTGAATTTTTAGCAGTTTTTTGCATTTTTGAGCCTTGCTTCAAAAAGGCACATGCCTTGCGCCTCGCACCTTGGGTGCAAAATGGCCCTTGCACTTTTTTTGCGCCATGCACTTTTAAAACACTAGGTTGGACCCCATCTGAGTCAAAACAATTTGAACAGGTTGGATAGTCCAATAAGACATTTAATTGGACCAGTCCAGACTTAATGGTCCAAAGTTTTTATTGGATTGGATTGGATATGGTCCACCTGTAATGGAATTATATTGGACTATGTTGGGTTGAACCAATATTCCAGTCCAATGACAGAAGATGAGAGTAGGGGTGTCAATGGACCAGGTTTGGGTTGGACGCAATTTGAATTAGAATCAATTTGAACAGTTGGAAGTCCAATAAAACATTGAATTGGACCAGTTCAGTCCAAAATATTTATCGGATTGGACTGGACCTTGTCCATCAGTAATAGACTCATACTAGACCAGATCGGGTTGGATCAATATCCAGTCCATTGACAGCTCTAATTACAAACAAGCATATATTAATACCTAGCATCTACCTCATAGTTCTGAAGGCAAGCCTAGGCAACAAGGTGTGCTTATACTCCCAGCCAGTGTTTTAAAAGTGCAAGGTGCAAGGAAAGCACAAGGGCCTTCTAGCATCAAAGCACAAGAAACACAGGGTGTGTATCTTTTCAAAGCAAGGCACAAATTTTTGAAAAATAATAATAAAGATAAAATAAAAACAGAAATACATATAAAAAAGCAAACCTGATTTGTAAAAGAAATATAATGTTTTCAAGAAGCGAATTGGCTCAAATTAATTAAAGATTTGCCCAAAATGCCAGAATTTCTGACATCTAAAAAAATTTGGGAAAATCATAAATAGATGAGTTCAAGCAGCAGTTCTTTGGCCCGTGTGGGAACAAAGGAATTCTAGTTTTTTTTCTAACAAGGAAAATACTTTTGAGATGATGACTTATTTAACCACAGTGAGGTTGGTTCACCAATAAGAACAAGAAAGTCAAGGACTTTAGCACCAATGACATAGGGATATTATTAGAGGGTTCACTGTAGCTAGTGGAACCATGCTCTCCATCATGGTTTTAAAAGACACTAAGGTGAGGCATTGAAGCGTATGCCTCAAATCAAGGCGGAGCCAAAACACCTCACCTAGAGAGCACTAAAATTCTAAAAATAAATAAATATATATAAATATATTTTGAGACAAAATGTATTGATATATGATGCTCTCGTCTGTTCAAAAAAACTCTGTTTTGTTGGTTACCATTAAAAAAGGACAACTTAATTTAAAAAACAAAAAAGAACTTTCATAATATATTTTTAACCCAAAAATATCTATTTGCTTTCCTCTTACTAAATATAATAATCCTAACCATTCTATGTCTTAATGTACCACATGTAAGAATATCATGTCCACTCATATCTTCACCCTTTGCACATGACAGTGAACCCAGCAACTTACAAATAAAAAATGATAGTGATGATTTTTCTTTAAATTAGAAAGTAAGCAAAAAATATATATCTTGATCAGTGTTTAGGAAATTGGACTGGACCAGCCAATCGGACTGGTTGACCCGTGACCCAGCCCTATATCTGGTTCGTTCATACCCTAGAAACTGGAATAGGTAGAAAACCACCCAAATCCAACTGACCGGCCAGTTTAACCTGAAAACTGGTCCCGGTTTCCTAAAACTGCATGGGTCTCGAATGCGTGGAATTTTTTTATCAATAACCAGAAATTTCATTAATTAGAAAGAAGGTACATTAGAAAGAGGTTAGCTCTCTTAACTCTAGAAAAAAACACAGTCTAAACCATAAAATTACAATTGAGCCCATAATAAAGACGCCCTATTCACCCCTCGATTGGCTAGCCAATCAGCAAAGGAGTTAGCATTTCTTTTAATCCAGAGCACTCTAACTTCAATGCCTTGCATCAGCCATTTGAATTTTTTCTTTTCACTACTGTAAGCCCAAAGACTATGCCCATTCTGTTTTTCCTTTAACCAATTCACCACCAATTTGGAATCCCCTTCAATTATCAACTTGTTAATATTCATCTCCTTGGCTCTTTGAATACCTTCCAAGGCTGCTAGGATCTCAGCGCTAAGGGAGTCACCAACTCCAATTGGACCAGAGAAAAGAGCAACTAAATTCCCTTCCTCGTTCCTTATCACTTCCATATCACTCCCCCAATGCCCAAAGGACCTGGATTCCCAACACTACTTCCATCAAAATTTAGCCTAAAAACCCATTAGGAGGAGAGGTCCATTCTGATAAGTATTACCTCCATAATAGCTTCTTTACTGATTTTTTGAAGAATAAAAAAAATCATTAAAATGAGAAAGGAATTACAACCTAACGCCATTGGTTGTCTAGTTGACACACCAAATACATTCTAAACATCATTTTGAAAAGGATTCTTCATTACAAGGCTGTAAGTCAAGGGTATTCCAGAAACTTTCCAGCAAATCGACTTTGGAAACTTGATAAAAAATCTGGGAGTCTGAGGACCCAGTCTGAAATCAGATTGCTTACTGCAGCTATCATGTATTCTATACTTTTTGACCTGTTCTTGAAAAACCTTATGTTTCTCTCCTTCCAAATATACCAACATACTACAAAAGGAACACAGCTCCAAACAATCCTGGCTTTCTTATTTCCTCTGAGCTTTGGCCACAAGGAGAAGATGAAGATCTCTGCTGGACGCTCATCCCAAATAGAAAGGAGAAGAGCTTCCAAATGAAACTTGCTATGCTGAACGAGAAGAACAAATGGAGGACTGTTTCTTCCTCCTGATTGCATAAATAACACCAGCTGGCCAGATGCAATCCCCTAGGTTTCAGGTGATCAGAGGTGAGGATGCTGTCATGTGCCACCAGCCAGGCGAAGGCTTATACCCTTGATGGAACTGGGTAGTCTGGGTTACTCCACACTCCTTTTTATCTGGTCCGAGCCCATTTCTTCTCTTACTAATGCTTTGTAGAATGACTTAACTGTGAGTCTGCCTTCCTTACATTCTTTCCACCAGAAACCATCTTCTGTAGATCTAGAAATGCTGGTCCCTTCTAATTTTTCCAGAAGCATAATGCACTCTTCCACTTCTTGGTCCAAGAGAGGCCTTCTGAATTTCAGATTTCAAATCAATTGCCCCCCTCTCCACTCATAGCATTGGTCTATCTTGTTCTGTCAGCTTGTATAATCTTGGGCAAACCTCACTTAACTTCCCTATCTCAAGCCACTCATCTTCCCAAGACCTCACACTAGAGCCTTCCCCCACTTTAAACTTGACCAAATTTCTGAACTCTTGATTGAAGTTCATGATTCCTTTCCAAACACTCACCCCGTAGGACTTCTTACTTCCCCTGATTACCACCCAAATCTGATCACACCATATTTCCCAACCACCACCCTCCTCCAAAAAGCCTCCCTCTCTCTTCCTTGCCCAAACCTCCACAACCATTTCCCTAGAAGTGCTTTGTTTATTAACTTTACCCTTCTCAGGCCCAAACCTTCCCCCCTCCTTTGGCTTGCACAGCTTTTCCCACTTGAGCAAGTGGAATTTTTTGGCTCCCCCTCCCCTTCCCATAGAAAATCTCTTGCAAGGAAAGAGTAAGTTGGTAAATTAGACAAAACACTCTTTATAAGTGTAGTTCTCCC